TCCTTGGCAAGTGTCTTGTAGAAAACGCTCGCCGGGTTACCATTCCACCGCCCTGCGACCTCCTGGACAGAGATGACCTTGCCGGCGCCGACACCCACATGCAGCAAGACACCCTTGGCTCCGGTGTTGTGCCTCAGATTGCCCTCCTTGGGTTTCACATAGCCTTTGCACAAACCTTGTCCAGGGCGGCGGTAAGCACCAAACGTGACGTGCTTGGCGGCACGCACACGTTCAGCTCCAGTCAGGTAAACCTGAAAGTGCTTCCCGTCGATGAACGCATGCACATTGCTAAGCCACCACTGCTTCGATTTGCCACGATACTTCTTCGCGAACGCATACCTGTCTCGGATATCCGCAGGCGTCAGCACAGGCTTCTCCCGAAGCTTGCGGAAGTAAATGTTCCGCTTGTGCAGTGCATGCAAGATGCATTGCGTGCTTGCCTTGGATTTTGTCGCCTTCTTCAAGGTCTCGACGGTGATGGTAGTCGCGCCGTCCACCTTCACGATCAGCTCATCCAGCCGCCGCTCGAGCAAGTCGACCTGTGCCGTGGTCAAGGCTTTTGGCCGGCCCTGTTTCTTCGGCTGTTTCTGCATACACAGAAGCCGTGTCATGGTCGAGGTGTCCCTACCTAGCAGCTCAGCTATCTCGGATGGCTTCTTCCCGCGGCTATACCAGTCCCTCGCCAGCTCGCGCTGCTCCTCCGACATCTTAGTCCAACCTGGGACAGGCATGGCGCACTACTGGCTGCTCTGGGCGTACTGTGGGAGCTCTGTGCTACCCGCTTGATCCAAGGTCCAAAACATGCTCTATGGCATGAAGAGTGCATGACTAAATGCTTCACCGAACAATGAATCCTGTGCAACTGGCCAGATCAGGTCACGAGACATGTTTGCACTCAGCACACCGGCCCAGCTCGACGGAGCCAAAAAAAACACCCACTTTTTGCCCGAAGCAGCCTGCGTGACTAAATGCTTCACCGAACAGTGAATCCTGTGCAACTGGTCAGATAAGGTCATGAGACATGTTTGCACTCAGCACACCGGCCCAGCTCGACGGAGCCAAAAAAAAAAGACACCACCCACTTTTTGCCCGAAACAGCCTGCGTGACTAAATGCTTCACCGAACAGTGAATCCTGTGCAACTGGCCAGATCAGGTCATGAGACATGTTTGCACTCAGCACACCGGCCCAGCTCGACGGAGCCAAAAAAAAACATCACCCACTTTCTACCCCAAACAACCTCGGCCGACGTGGAGTCATTCTCGCACGCGTCTGTACTTTCACACGGCCGGTAAACAACAGCCACGGATATGGAGCTCAAAAGCACGGCTACACATCATCTTGGACGGTGGATGATATAAATCCTGCATGAGTTTGCAAGACACAGGCCGCTCCCCTTGAACCCCTGAATTTTAACATTGTCGCAGGCGGACGTGCTCTGATAGGACCGTGCGAATGATATAAATCCTGCATGACCTCCCCTCTGACATCAACATTGAAATTTAGGGGCGCGGGGATGCAACTGCTTTGACGATACATGATGGGCTGACCCACAGTCATGCACGTTTTTTTATCATCAACAGTACGGCGCAGGGGGCGTTCTGTTTGTTTTTTATCCTGGCAGTATGCCTGGTGTCCTTGCGTTAGCCGCAGTGAATTATCGGGAGCTCTGCAGATCTGCGAAAGAGGGTCCGCGCTTACAGGTCTTCCTCATCAATCACCGGGTCTGCTGCGCTGGCACTCAAGTGCCTTTGACGGCGTGCTGCGTACGCAGCAGAGGATTCCGTTACGAATCTGCACCAGCTCGAGGCGCAATGTGGTACCTTCTTTAAGGCCCCATTGATGGCAACATGAGCATCAAATTGGATGACGCGACTTTGCATATGCCGCACATCCTCTCGGGAAACCGGTGAGGTTGCATCCCACAGTCCCTCCAGCGGAGCCGTGAGTGCTGCACCTCTCGTCCACTTGAAATCAGGATTGCCATCGTGATGCGACTGGCTCACCTGAATTCGCAAGATTTGGCCCGCAAAAAGCTTCTTGAAAGTCACGGCAGGCACTGTGGGCGACCTTGCTGGGCGAGACGCAAACTCTGTAGGAGAGAACTCGTCCCAGTAGATGAAGCGAATAGCTTTGTTGGTCGCCAGCGAACTCAGGGCCATCGATGCTCCGAGGGCTGGGCAAAAGTCCACTGCGTTTCGGCCGAAGACGTTGACAAGTGGATCCAAGATCATACTCTTCCCGGCATTGGTCGTGCCGGCTAGCATGGGGACACGGGCTGTCTTGCTCGGACCGTGGCAGATAACGTTAGCTAAGCTGGCTGCAAGCAGCTCCTGGTCAATAGTGGCATGGTTGCGGCTGAAGAAGTCGCATGCCGCCTCTGACCACTCACAGCTGCCTTGACAGCTGCAACTTGTCTGCGCGAGTCTCTGCACTACTGCCCAGTCGCTCTCCTGCTCCAGTGCATGCTGCTGCTTTGCACCTTGCCACTGCTCCGCACCAGCGATCAGTTCAGAAAGCCGCTTCTGGTTCCGCACACAGAAGAGCTGGCAGGCGTGCGAGCCGTACTCCTGCACATAAGCTAGCACTGCACTTGGAGTCAGCAGCTTTTTTTCCAGAGCCAGAGCCGTGAAGTCCAAGAGGTTGAACTTGGGGACTCGTGCTTTCTTGCCACCGGAAGCCTCAGCACCAGCAGCAGCAGCCTCGGCCTGTTGGCGCCGCTTGGTCCACATGGTGGCACTCCAAGGCTCCTGGGATTCCTCGTAGAGGTTAAGGACAACTGCATCCCTACCAGGAACAACAAACTCTTGGCACGGACGGTCTCCAACCTGGATTGCCTCCAAACTTCCGAGACTCTTCAGCCACGCTACTGGTTGGAAGTCAACAACAGGCTTCCGCTCCGTTGTGAAAACACCATAGCGCAAGGCACTCCACCACTGCTTGTGCGTTGTGCTCCAATGCGAGGCCAAGCCAGACCGCTGCCGCAGCGCGAGTTTTAGTGGCATGAACCGCGTTGAAGTGTTCAGCTTGAGAGCTGCGTGGAAGTGCTTTGGCTCCTCCAGAAACACAACGAGCTTCACGACCTCCAAAACCTTGCTCCGAGGCCGCCCACCTCGAGGAGTCGCCTCCGGCACAGGATGCGCGACTGCGTCCAACAAGGCATCCCGAACTTGGAGGCGGGAGTGGTCTGCCAAGTCTTTCAGAGGAGTTTCGGCTTCCAGAGCAGTCTCGCTCAGAACAGCAGCGAACGTCACTGGGTCAGCCAGTCGGGCTGGGCCACAGCAGCTGGACAGTCATCGTCGCCGGAGGACGAGGAGCTGGAGCTAGGCATGCCGAGCTCTGGCGCAAGCCTGCTTGCTGGTTGTTGAGCCCAACTTTCAGCACAGTCACTATGGAAGAGGCATTCAAGCTTCTCACCAGCTGCTTTCGGACGAAACTTGTTTCCCCCTAGCACTGGTGTGTCCCGAGACATGCGACTTCTGCTTCCCCCCAATAGCTTGCGGGATTCAGAGAAACCTCGAAATCGCTTTCCCCAAGTACTGGTGAGATTCAACGGTTTCGAGAACCAAGAATGATGAACCCTCTATAGTTGCAAACCCAGCCGTGCCGTTTTGCCTAGTTGTAAACTAGTTGCAAACCTAGTTGCAAACCTAGTTGCAAACTCCACCTCTAAGGGGGAAAAGCACACGCACGGAGCACAACTTCTGCTGTTTCAATCGAAGCAAGCTTCAGAGTTCACGTGCGAATCCGCTTCCCCCCTTAGAGGTGGAGTTTGCAACTAGGTTTGCAACTAGTTTGCAACTATGCAAAACCGCACAATCGAGTTTGCAACTATGCAGGGCCCAGAAGCAGGGCACGGGCGAGCCAGGGCCAGGGGCGGGGCGGCGGAGGTTGCAACTAGGTTTGCAACTAGTTTGCAACTATGCAAAACCGCACAATCGAGTTTGCAACTATGCAGGGCCCAGAAGCAGGGCACGGGCGAGCCAGGGCCAGGGGCGGGGCGGCGCAGGGCAGGGCAAGGGCAAGCGCAGGGGCAGCAGGGCATCAGGGTAAGGGCAGAGCCCGCCCTTCAAGTCAGTGTGAATCTCGGCACTCATCACTCAGGCTGCAGTGCAAGTTTTGTCACCCCGCAGGAAGTGTCCGAGTCTTAAATGGACCAATCACACATCAAGGTCAAGGAGAAGTTGCCGGGTCGCAGCGTAGCCTCCGGCCTCGCCTGCACCTGCTGAAGGATTCAAAGTTCCACTCAGTTGCTAGAGCCGCCCTCTTCGAAAAAGTAGCCCTTGGACTCATACAGCCGCTTGCAGCGTCGGACCATGTCCCCGATGCTGTCCTCAAGGAAGGCTTTGGGCAGGTTGCGGATGGTCCTCTTCAGGCGCTTCAGGTACTGCGGCCGCGTCTCACGCTTGGCGCCACTCCACGTCTTCTCCTGCTTCCGCAAGCGCTTGTTGACCTCCTTCCAAATGGCATAATCCAAGACCGAGAGATCTGGGCTACGCTTCGGGATCTCCAGGACACCAATCTGGGCTTCGTGCTTCGCAGCCAAACCCTTCGAAGACTTGTACCCGGTCGGGTCATTGTCCTCGAGGACTGTGTACTTGCGCTTACCAGGCCATGCCTTAGCCAAGTCCTTGGCAAGTGTCTTGTAGAAAACGCTCGCCGAGTTACCATTCCACCGCCCTGCGACCTCCTGGACAGAGATGACCTTGCCGGCGCCGACACCCACATGCAGCAAGACACCCTTGGCTCCGGTGTTGTGCCTCAGATTGCCCTCCTTGGGTTTCACATAGCCTTTGCACAAACCTTGTCCAGGGCGGCGGTAAGCACCAAACGTGACGTGCTTGGCGGCACGCACACGTTCAGCTCCAGTCAGGTAAACCTGAAAGTGCTTCCCGTCGATGAACGCATGCACATTGCTAAGCCACCACTGCTTCGATTTGCCACGATACTTCTTCGCGAACGCATACCTGTCTCGGATATCCGCAGGCGTCAGCACAGGCTTCTCCCGAAGCTTGCGGAAGTAAATGTTCCGCTTGTGCAGTGCATGCAAGATGCATTGCGTGCTTGCCTTGGATTTTGTCGCCTTCTTCAAGGTCTCGACGGTGATGGTAGTCGCGCCGTCCACCTTCACGATCAGCTCATCCAGCCGCCGCTCGAGCAAGTCGACCTGTGCCGTGGTCAAGGCTTTTGGCCGGCCCTGTTTCTTCGGCTGTTTCTGCATACACAGAAGCCGTGCCATGGTCGAGGTGTCCCTACCTAGCAGCTCAGCTATCTCGGATGGCTTCTTCCCGCGGCTATACCAGTCCCTCGCCAGCTCGCGCTGCTCCTCCGACATCTTAGTCCAACCTGGGACAGGCATGGCGCACTACTGGCTGCTCTGGGCGTACTGTGGAAGCTCTGTGCTACCCGCTTGATCCAAGGTCCAAAACATGCTCTATGGCATGAAGAGTGCATGACTAAATGCTTCACCGAACAATGAATCCTGTGCAACTGGCCAGATCAGGTCACGAGACATGTTTGCACTCAGCACACCGGCCCAGCTCGACGGAGCCAAAAAAAAAAACACCCACTTTTTGCCCGAAGTAGCCTGCGTGACTAAATGCTTCACCGAACAGTGAATCCTGTGCAACTGGCCAGATAAGGTCATGAGACATGTTTGCACTCAGCACAGCGGCCCAGCTCGACGGAGCCAAAAAAAAAAGACACCACCCACTTTTTGCTCGAAACAGCCTGCGTGACTAAATGCTTCACCGAACAGTGAATCCTGTGCAACTGGCCAGATCAGGTCATGAGACATGTTTGCACTCAGCACACCGGCCCAGCTCGACGGAGCCAAAAAAAAAACATCACCCACTTTCTACCCCAAACAACCTCGGCCGACGTGGAGTCATTCTCGCACGCGTCTGTACTTTCACACGGCCGGTAAACAACAGCCACGGATATGGAGCTCAAAAGCACGGCTACACATCATCTTGGACGGTGGATGATATAAATCCTGCATGAGTTTGTAAGACACAGGCCGCTCCCCTTGAACCCCTGAATTTTAACATTGTCGCAGGCGGACGTGCTCTGATAGGACCGTGCGAATGATATAAATCCTGCATGACCTCCCCTCTGACATCAACATTGAAATTTAGGGGCGCGGGGATGCAACTGCTTTGACGATACATGATGGGCTGACCCACAGTCATGCACGATTTATATCATCAACAGTACGGCGCAGGGGGCGTTCTGTTTGTTTTTTATCCTGGCAGTATGCCTGGTGTCCTTGCGTTAGCCGCAGTGAATTATCGGGAGCTCTGCAGATCTGCGAAAGAGGGTCCGCGCTTACAGGTCTTCCTCATCAATCACCGGGTCTGCTGCGCTGGCACTCAAGTGCCTTTGACGGCGTGCTGCGTACGCAGCAGAGGATTCCGTTACGAATCTGCACCAGCTCGAGGCGCAATGTGGTACCTTCTTTAAGGCCCCATTGATGGCAACATGAGCATCAAATTGGATGACGCGACTTTGCATATGCCGCACATCCTCTCGGGAAACCGGTGAGGTTGCATCCCACAGTCCCTCCAGCGGAGCCGTGAGTGCTGCACCTCTCGTCCACTTGAAATCAGGATTGCCATCGTGATGCGACTGGCTCACCTGAATTCGCAAGATTTGGCCCGCAAAAAGCTTCTTGAAAGTCACGGCAGGCACTGTGGGCGACCTTGCTGGGCGAGACGCAAACTCTGTAGGAGAGAACTCGTCCCAGTAGATGAAGCGAATAGCTTTGTTGGTCGCCAGCGAACTCAGGGCCATCGATGCTCCGAGGGCTGGGCAAAAGTCCACTGCGTTTCGGCCGAAGACGTTGACAAGTGGATCCAAGATCATACTCTTCCCGGCATTGGTCGTGCCGGCTAGCATGGGGACACGGGCTGTCTTGCTCGGACCGTGGCAGATAACGTTAGCTAAGCTGGCTGCAAGCAGCTCCTGGTCAATAGTGGCATGGTTGCGGCTGAAGAAGTCGCATGCCGCCTCTGACCACTCACAGCTGCCTTGACAGCTGCAACTTGTCTGCGCGAGTCTCTGCACTACTGCCCAGTCGCTCTCCTGCTCCAGTGCATGCTGCTGCTTTGCACCTTGCCACTGCTCCGCACCAGCGATCAGTTCAGAAAGCCGCTTCTGGTTCCGCACACAGAAGAGCTGGCAGGCGTGCGAGCCGTACTCCTGCACATAAGCTAGCACTGCACTTGGAGTCAGCAGCTTTTTTTCCAGAACCAGAGCCGTGAAGTCCAGAGGTTACTGCATCCCTACCAGGAACAACAAACTCTTGGCACGGACGGTCTCCAACCTGGATTGCCTCCAAACTTCCGAGACTCTTCAGCCACGCTACTGGTTGGAAGTCAACAACAGGCTTCCGCTCCGTTGTGAAAACACCATAGCGCAAGGCACTCCACCACTGCTTGTGCGTTGTGCTCCAATGCGAGGCCAAGCCAGACCGCTGCCGCAGCGCGAGTTTTAGTGGCATGAACCGCGTTGAAGTGTTCAGCTTGAGAGCTGCGTGGAAGTGCTTTGGCTCCTCCAGAAACACAACGAGCTTCACGACCTCCAAAACCTTGCTCCGAGGCCGCCCACCTCGAGGAGTCGCCTCCGGCACAGGATGCGCGACTGCGTCCAACAAGGCATCCCGAACTTGGAGGCGGGAGAGGTCTGCCAAGTCTTTCAGAGGAGTTTCGGCTTCCAGAGCAGTCTCGCTCAGAACAGCAGCGAACGTCACTGGGTCAGCCAGTCGGGCTGGGCCACAGCAGCTGGACAGTCATCGTCGCCGGAGGACGAGGAGCTGGAGCTAGGCATGCCGAGCTCTGGCGCAAGCCTGCTTGCTGGTTGTTGAGCCCAACTTTCAGCACAGTCACTATGGAAGAGGCATTCAAGCTTCTCACCAGCTGCTTTCGGACGAAACTTGTTTCCCCCTAGCACTGGTGTGTCCCGAGACATGCGACTTCTGCTTCCCCCCAATAGCTTGCGGGATTCAGAGAAACCTCGAAATCGCTTCCCCCAAGTACTGGTGAGATTCAACGGTTTCGAGAACCAAGAATGATGAACCCTCTATAGTTGCAAACCCAGCCGTGCCGTTTTGCCTAGTTGTAAACTAGTTGCAAACCTAGTTGCAAACCTAGTTGCAAACTCCACCTCTAAGGGGGAAAAGCACACGCACGGAGCACAACTTCTGCTGTTTCAATCGAAGCAAGCTTCAGAGTTCACGTGCGAATCCGCTTCCCCCCTTAGAGGTGGAGTTTGCAACTAGGTTTGCAACTAGTTTGCAACTATGCAAAACCGCACAATCGAGTTTGCAACTATGCAGGGCCCAGAAGCAGGGCACGGGCGAGCCAGGGCCAGGGGCGGGGCGGCGGAGTTTGCAACTAGGTTTGCAACTAGTTTGCAACTATGCAAAACCGCACAATCGAGTTTGCAACTATGCAGGGCCCAGAAGCAGGGCACGGGCGAGCCAGGGCCAGGGGCGGGGCGGCGCAGGGCAGGGCAAGGGCAAGCGCAGGGGCAGCAGGGCATCAGGGTAAGGGCAGAGCCCGCCCTTCAAGTCAGTGTGAATCTCGGCACTCATCACTCAGGCTGCAGTGCAAGTTTTGTCACCCCGCAGGAAGTGTCCGAGTCTTAAATGGACCAATCACACATCAAGGTCAAGGAGAAGTTGCCGGGTCGCAGCGTAGCCTCCGGCCTCGCCTGCACCTGCTGAAGGATTCAAAGTTCCACTCAGTTGCTAGAGCCGCCCTCTTCGAAAAAGTAGCCCTTGGACTCATACAGCCGCTTGCAGCGTCGGACCATGTCCCCGATGCTGTCCTCAAGGAAGGCTTTGGGCAGGTTGCGGATGGTCCTCTTCAGGCGCTTCAGGTACTGCGGCCGCGTCTCACGCTTGGCGCCACTCCACGTCTTCTCCTGCTTCCGCAAGCGCTTGTTGACCTCCTTCCAAATGGCATAATCCAAGACCGAGAGATCTGGGCTACGCTTCGGGATCTCCAGGACACCAATCTGGGCTTCGTGCTTCGCAGCCAAACCCTTCGAAGACTTGTACCCGGTCGGGTCATTGTCCTCGAGGACTGTGTACTTGCGCTTACCAGGCCATGCCTTAGCCAAGTCCTTGGCAAGTGTCTTGTAGAAGACGCTCGCCGAGTTACCATTCCACCGCCCTGCGACCTCCTGGACAGAGATGACCTTGCCGGCGCCGACACCCACATGCAGCAAGACACCCTTGGCTCCGGTGTTGTGCCTCAGATTGCCCTCCTTGGGTTTCACATAGCCTTTGCACAAACCTTGTCCAGGGCGGCGGTAAGCACCAAACGTGACGTGCTTGGCGGCACGCACACGTTCAGCTCCAGTCAGGTAAACCTGAAAGTGCTTCCCGTCGATGAACGCATGCACATTGCTAAGCCACCACTGCTTCGATTTGCCACGATACTTCTTCGCGAACGCATACCTGTCTCGGATATCCGCAGGCGTCAGCACAGGCTTCTCCCGAAGCTTGCGGAAGTAAATGTTCCGCTTGTGCAGTGCATGCAAGATGCATTGCGTGCTTGCCTTGGATTTTGTCGCCTTCTTCAAGGTCTCGACGGTGATGGTAGTCGCGCCGTCCACCTTCACGATCAGCTCATCCAGCCGCCGCTCGAGCAAGTCGACCTGTGCCGTGGTCAAGGCTTTTGGCCGGCCCTGTTTCTTCGGCTGTTTCTGCATACACAGAAGCCGTGCCATGGTCGAGGTGTCCCTACCTAGCAGCTCAGCTATCTCGGATGGCTTCTTCCCGCGGCTATACCAGTCCCTCGCCAGCTCGCGCTGCTCCTCCGACATCTTAGTCCAACCTGGGACAGGCATGGCGCACTACTGGCTGCTCTGGGCGTACTGTGGAAGCTCTGTGCTACCCGCTTGATCCAAGGTCCAAAACATGCTCTATGGCATGAAGAGTGCATGACTAAATGCTTCACCGAACAATGAATCCTGTGCAACTGGCCAGATCAGGTCACGAGACATGTTTGCACTCAGCACACCGGCCCAGCTCGACGGAGCCAAAAAAAAAAACACCCACTTTTTGCCCGAAGTAGCCTGCGTGACTAAATGCTTCACCGAACAGTGAATCCTGTGCAACTGGCCAGATAAGGTCATGAGACATGTTTGCACTCAGCACAGCGGCCCAGCTCGACGGAGCCAAAAAAAAAAGACACCACCCACTTTTTGCTTGAAACAGCCTGCGTGACTAAATGCTTCACCGAACAGTGAATCCTGTGCAACTGGCCAGATCAGGTCATGAGACATGTTTGCACTCAGCACACCGGCCCAGCTCGACGGAGCCAAAAAAAAACATCACCCACTTTCTACCCCAAACAACCTCGGCCGACGTGGAGTCATTCTCGCACGCGTCTGTACTTTCACACGGCCGGTAAACAACAGCCACGGATATGGAGCTCAAAAGCACGGCTACACATCATCTTGGACGGTGGATGATATAAATCCTGCATGAGTTTGTAAGACACAGGCCGCTCCCCTTGAACCCCTGAATTTTAACATTGTCGCAGGCGGACGTGCTCTGATAGGACCGTGCGAATGATATAAATCCTGCATGACCTCCCCTCTGACATCAACATGGAAATTTAGGGGCGCGGGGATGCAACTGCTTTGACGATACATGATGGGCTGACCCACAGTCATGCACGATTTATATCATCAACAGTACGGCGCAGGGGGCGTTCTGTTTGTTTTTTATCCTGGCAGTATGCCTGGTGTCCTTGCGTTAGCCGCAGTGAATTATCGGGAGCTCTGCAGATCTGCGAAAGAGGGTCCGCGCTTACAGGTCTTCCTCATCAATCACCGGGTCTGCTGCGCTGGCACTCAAGTGCCTTTGACGGCGTGCTGCGTACGCAGCAGAGGATTCCGTTACGAATCTGCACCAGCTCGAGGCGCAATGTGGTACCTTCTTTAAGGCCCCATTGATGGCAACATGAGCATCAAATTGGATGACGCGACTTTGCATATGCCGCACATCCTCTCGGGAAACCGGTGAGGTTGCATCCCACAGTCCCTCCAGCGGAGCCGTGAGTGCTGCACCTCTCGTCCACTTGAAATCAGGATTGCCATCGTGATGCGACTGGCTCACCTGAATTCGCAAGATTTGGCCCGCAAAAAGCTTCTTGAAAGTCACGGCAGGCACTGTGGGCGACCTTGCTGGGCGAGACGCAAACTCTGTAGGAGAGAACTCGTCCCAGTAGATGAAGCGAATAGCTTTGTTGGTCGCCAGCGAACTCAGGGCCATCGATGCTCCGAGGGCTGGGCAAAAGTCCACTGCGTTTCGGCCGAAGACGTTGACAAGTGGATCCAAGATCATACTCTTCCCGGCATTGGTCGTGCCGGCTAGCATGGGGACACGGGCTGTCTTGCTCGGACCGTGGCAGATAACGTTAGCTAAGCTGGCTGCAAGCAGCTCCTGGTCAATAGTGGCATGGTTGCGGCTGAAGAAGTCGCATGCCGCCTCTGACCACTCACAGCTGCCTTGACAGCTGCAACTTGTCTGCGCGAGTCTCTGCACTACTGCCCAGTCGCTCTCCTGCTCCAGTGCATGCTGCTGCTTTGCACCTTGCCACTGCTCCGCACCAGCGATCAGTTCAGAAAGCCGCTTCTGGTTCCGCACACAGAAGAGCTGGCAGGCGTGCGAGCCGTACTCCTGCACATAAGCTAGCACTGCACTTGGAGTCAGCAGCTTTTTTTCCAGAACCAGAGCCGTGAAGTCCAGAGGTTACTGCATCCCTACCAGGAACAACAAACTCTTGGCACGGACGGTCTCCAACCTGGATTGCCTCCAAACTTCCGAGACTCTTCAGCCACGCTACTGGTTGGAAGTCAACAACAGGCTTCCGCTCCGTTGTGAAAACACCATAGCGCAAGGCACTCCACCACTGCTTGTGCGTTGTGCTCCAATGCGAGGCCAAGCCAGACCGCTGCCGCAGCGCGAGTTTTAGTGGCATGAACCGCGTTGAAGTGTTCAGCTTGAGAGCTGCGTGGAAGTGCTTTGGCTCCTCCAGAAACACAACGAGCTTCACGACCTCCAAAACCTTGCTCCGAGGCCGCCCACCTCGAGGAGTCGCCTCCGGCACAGGATGCGCGACTGCGTCCAACAAGGCATCCCGAACTTGGAGGCGGGAGAGGTCTGCCAAGTCTTTCAGAGGAGTTTCGGCTTCCAGAGCAGTCTCGCTCAGAACAGCAGCGAACGTCACTGGGTCAGCCAGTCGGGCTGGGCCACAGCAGCTGGACAGTCATCGTCGCCGGAGGACGAGGAGCTGGAGCTAGGCATGCCGAGCTCTGGCGCAAGCCTGCTTGCTGGTTGTTGAGCCCAACTTTCAGCACAGTCACTATGGAAGAGGCATTCAAGCTTCTCACCAGCTGCTTTCGGACGAAACTTGTTTCCCCCTAGCACTGGTGTGTCCCGAGACATGCGACTTCTGCTTCCCCCCAATAGCTTGCGGGATTCAGAGAAACCTCGAAATCGCTTCCCCCAAGTACTGGTGAGATTCAACGGTTTCGAGAACCAAGAATGATGAACCCTCTATAGTTGCAAACCCAGCCGTGCCGTTTTGCCTAGTTGTAAACTAGTTGCAAACCTAGTTGCAAACCTAGTTGCAAACTCCACCTCTAAGGGGGAAAAGCACACGCACGGAGCACAACTTCTGCTGTTTCAATCGAAGCAAGCTTCAGAGTTCACGTGCGAATCCGCTTCCCCCCTTAGAGGTGGAGTTTGCAACTAGGTTTGCAACTAGTTTGCAACTATGCAAAACCGCACAATCGAGTTTGCAACTATGCAGGGCCCAGAAGCAGGGCACGGGCGAGCCAGGGCCAGGGGCGGGGCGGCGGAGTTTGCAACTAGGTTTGCAACTAGTTTGCAACTATGCAAAACCGCACAATCGAGTTTGCAACTATGCAGGGCCCAGAAGCAGGGCACGGGCGAGCCAGGGCCAGGGGCGGGGCGGCGCAGGGCAGGGCAAGGGCAAGCGCAGGGGCAGCAGGGCATCAGGGTAAGGGCAGAGCCCGCCCTTCAAGTCAGTGTGAATCTCGGCACTCATCACTCAGGCTGCAGTGCAAGTTTTGTCACCCCGCAGGAAGTGTCCGAGTCTTAAATGGACCAATCACACATCAAGGTCAAGGAGAAGTTGCCGGGTCGCAGCGTAGCCTCCGGCCTCGCCTGCACCTGCTGAAGGATTCAAAGTTCCACTCAGTTGCTAGAGCCGCCCTCTTCGAAAAAGTAGCCCTTGGACTCATACAGCCGCTTGCAGCGTCCCCGATGCTGTCCTCAAGGAAGGCTTTGGGCAGGTTGCGGATGGTCCTCTTCAGGCGCTTCAGGTACTGCGGCCGCGTCTCACGCTTGGCGCCACTCCACGTCTTCTCCTGCTTCCGCAAGCGCTTGTTGACCTCCTTCCAAATGGCATAATCCAAGACCGAGAGATCTGGGCTACGCTTCGGGATCTCCAGGACACCAATCTGGGCTTCGTGCTTCGCAGCCAAACCCTTCGAAGACTTGTACCCGGTCGGGTCATTGTCCTCGAGGACTGTGTACTTGCGCTTACCAGGCCATGCCTTAGCCAAGTCCTTGGCAAGTGTCTTGTAGAAGACGCTCGCCGAGTTACCATTCCACCGCCCTGCGACCTCCTGGACAGAGATGACCTTGCCGGCGCCGACACCCACATGCAGCAAGACACCCTTGGCTCCGGTGTTGTGCCTCAGATTGCCCTCCTTGGGTTTCACATAGCCTTTGCACAAACCTTGTCCAGGGCGGCGGTAAGCACCAAACGTGACGTGCTTGGCGGCACGCACACGTTCAGCTCCAGTCAGGTAAACCTGAAAGTGCTTCCCGTCGATGAACGCATGCACATTGCTAAGCCACCACTGCTTCGATTTGCCACGATACTTCTTCGCGAACGCATACCTGTCTCGGATATCCGCAGGCGTCAGCACAGGCTTCTCCCGAAGCTTGCGGAAGTAAATGTTCCGCTTGTGCAGTGCATGCAAGATGCATTGCGTGCTTGCCTTGGATTTTGTCGCCTTCTTCAAGGTCTCGACGGTGATGGTAGTCGCGCCGTCCACCTTCACGATCAGCTCATCCAGCCGCCGCTCGAGCAAGTCGACCTGTGCCGTGGTCAAGGCTTTTGGCCGGCCCTGTTTCTTCGGCTGTTTCTGCATACACAGAAGCCGTGCCATGGTCGAGGTGTCCCTACCTAGCAGCTCAGCTATCTCGGATGGCTTCTTCCCGCGGCTATACCAGTCCCTCGCCAGCTCGCGCTGCTCCTCCGACATCTTAGTCCAACCTGGGACAGGCATGGCGCACTACTGGCTGCTCTGGGCGTACTGTGGAAGCTCTGTGCTACCCGCTTGATCCAAGGTCCAAAACATGCTCTATGGCATGAAGAGTGCATGACTAAATGCTTCACCGAACAATGAATCCTGTGCAACTGGCCAGATCAGGTCACGAGACATGTTTGCACTCAGCACACCGGCCCAGCTCGACGGAGCCAAAAAAAAAAACACCCACTTTTTGCCCGAAGTAGCCTGCGTGACTAAATGCTTCACCGAACAGTGAATCCTGTGCAACTGGCCAGATAAGGTCATGAGACATGTTTGCACTCAGCACAGCGGCCCAGCTCGACGGAGCCAAAAAAAAAAAGACACCACCCACTTTTTGCTTGAAACAGCCTGCGTGACTAAATGCTTCACCGAACAGTGAATCCTGTGCAACTGGCCAGATCAGGTCATGAGACATGTTTGCACTCAGCACACCGGCCCAGCTCGACGGAGCCAAAAAAAAACATCACCCACTTTCTACCCCAAACAACCTCGGCCGACGTGGAGTCATTCTCGCACGCGTCTGTACTTTCACACGGCCGGTAAACAACAGCCACGGATATGGAGCTCAAAAGCACGGCTACACATCATCTTGGACGGTGGATGATATAAATCCTGCATGAGTTTGTAAGACACAGGCCGCTCCCCTTGAACCCCTGAATTTAACATTGTCGCAGGCGGACGTGCTCTGATAGGACCGTGCGAATGATATAAATCCTGCATGACCTCCCCTCTGACATCAACATTGCAATTTAGGGGCGCGGGGATGCAACTGCTTTGACGATACATGATGGGCTGACCCACAGTCATGCACGATCTATATCATCAACAGTAGTAGTGCATTTTAATACCAATACTGATACACACCTGCATATACCAATGTACATAAAATACATACCACTATATTAAAGTACAAATACAATAGCTCATGCATGTATTTATCTGTTAGTATTTTCATGTAATCAGGAGTAATACTAATACAAGACAAACGTTCATGCGAATACATAACCTCATTTTAATATTAGCACTAGCACTATTACTAATACCAATCACACTGTTTATACCAACACCAAGATTTGCATAAGTATTGATACTCCTACGGATACTACTGCGTATACTCTTATGCTGTTAACAGTAATGCTGTCACCAATACTAATACTGACATTGATAACTTGTTGAATATTCAAGATAATGCAAGTATTAATGCCATGATTAACACTTATACTAAGGCTAGTGCGACTATGGATAATCCTAATACGAATATTAACATGAATACTCCTACGAATACCAATAGTCATATTCATACTGATGTGAAGACTAATACCATTACAAAAGACACGTGCATATGCTAATGCACACCAGAACACATACCATTATCTTAAAATGCCGATATGTATCAATGCATTCATGTACTGATGTTTTAGGACAAGCATTTACCCATATACCAATGTAACACTACACTACTTGTTAATGTGTGAATATACTATACTAGTATGCTATTATACTAGTATGCTACTATACTAGTATACGACTACTGTAATATGCAAGTATACCGACATGGCAGGTTAGTGTACTAATATGACAACATACTGATATACTTAAAATTCTTTAGACAATACATGTATATTGCATATACTAGTATACTAATACACTAATGTACGAATATACTGGTATGTTAATATACTAATATATTAAGATAGCAATATACTAGTTTACTCATGCATCAGTTGTACTAGAGTATTAAATCTACGAATATGCAAGTATACAAATATGTTGCCTCTCGAACACATCAATGTATTGATATACTAACCTGCTGATATACGAAACTATCAATGTACTAACATATCGAAACTAACTCTAATTTTGTTACCAATACTAGCACCTCTGCCATTATTAACTGATATTAAACCCAGCATGAAGACTGGTACTAATACTAGCAGTGGTACTATTACTGGCATTGACACTGGCACTAACACTAAGACTAAAACGAAGATGAGCACTAACATTACTGTATACTTACTACTGTCGATATATACATATATATAATTATATATATATATATATACTTACAGAAAACACTAATACTATTGCTGTTACTAATACAAATACCAATATTAATACTCATACTCATCCTAGACCAATGCTACCACAAAACTCATAACTCACGTGTCGCGCGTCTGGTCCATGCGTCCTCAGTACATGGCATGTTAAAAGTATACTTGGTATATGTACTGTAAAGGATTTGCTTTACAGACTGTTGTCATGTGTGGTGTGTTTAGATACAATATCTCAGCCTGGTCATCGAACGAGAGTACAGTATCACAAGGGCATGGTCTGTCAACGGGGGGGGGTGAGCATATCTATATATATGTATACATGTGTGTATATATATATATACATACATATAAACCCTACATAAACCCCAAACGTCCGGGAAGCTCCAAGCCCCCGGCTCTGCGAAACCACGGCCGGAGAAGAGGGGAGCAGCGGCATCCTTCGGGCGGGAGCTTAGTTTCTTCGCTGTTCTTTTCGAGACAGCGAGGGAGGGTGGAGGAAGGGATGAGGGAAGGGAGTTTAAGCTCCAAACACAGATAGTAACCAGCCTGGCGTTGTCTCAACCCACGCCGGGGAAGTTCAAGCTGCTGGAAACTTAGTCTTAATCGCCAGGTTACCTGTGGAGGGTTTGACTCTGACCAAAAGTCAGGGTTTAGGCTTGGGTTCAGGATTTGGCCCAGGGTTTCTGTTTAGGATCTTTGGGCATCGGGGTTTAGGGTTTCCGTGACGACCTTTTCTACAAGGCTTCGGCCTTCAGAAAGTTGGTTTAGGGTATGGTACGGTATGGTTGGCCTTACCCTCGAATTGTCGGACACTCTAAACCCCTATAGTATCTCTTTAAAGGCACCCTTATAGTACCCTTATAGTAACCCTTTAAAGGAACCTTAAGGTACCCCTAATATTGTGAAACCTGCCCTCAAGTAAAACGGAGCTTGACATGTCCTTATAGGATCCTAAACCCTAAAACCCCTTGGTCAGTCCGTTCCGTCCTTCACCTAACGACTCCGAGATTTCTCTGAGTAAACCCTACCTGGACCCTAAAGAATCTACCGTTTTAGGGCTCCGTATGATGATTTCCTTATACAAGTCCTTAAAAAGGTAAGCTATTTGGGGTTAACGTAATCCTAAGCCTAAACCCTCAATCCTAAGCCCTACACCCGAAATCCTAAACCATATAAAACTCCACAATCCTCCACACTACACCCTGAACCCGATAGTCCTAAACCCTACGCCCAGAAGCCTTCAGGGCCTAAGGTTGAAGGGTTCCGACCTGGGGCTCCTTTAAGGGATCCTTTAAGGGATCTAGAGGGTTTAGGGTTTAGGGGACTCCAGTATCCCTGAAAACCCACCTACTTGTCGGGTATCATGGGAAACTAAAGGTTAACCTTTTGGTTATATAGGGACTATACTACCCCAAAAAGGTTAAAGGTTGCCTACTCTACTAGTAGGCCCAATCCATCTCCTTCTCCAGGCGTAACCACTCAAATCCATCCACTCGGTAGGGCACGGCAAAGAACCTCTGGGACGATCCGAGGACCGCGTATGATATACAGGGTTTAGGGTTCAGGGTTTGGGGTTTTAAGGTTTAGGATTTAGGCTTAGGGTTTACATAGGGGTGTCATAATTAGAATAGGGTTTGGTGTCGAAATGATGATAAACAATAAGATGAGGAACGCTGAGAAAACCTACTAGTAGCTATTACTCGAGCGTCCATATTGTCATAGCAATTAACCTAAGGACCTTGACATTTCGAATAAAGTGCATGAGGCCTAGGACCCCGACATTTGGGCTTCGGGTTGAGGGCTCTCGGTCGATGGTTGAGGATGTAGGCTACTGGGATTTAGGGCTTGTGGGTTGGGGATTTGGGGTTTAAGGTTGCGGGTGGAGGGTTGCGACTAGAGAATTCAAAATTTGACGGCTGGGAATGTAAAGTTCAAGGGATAAGCTTGAGGCTTTCAGGCTCAGACGAAGGAGCTTCGGCTTAAGGTTGTATACGGGAGCCTCAATGATCAGAACAGAGTTTGGGCCTGTTTTTTTCTAGAACACTGGCATGAAACCACAAGCAGCCCAATCACTCGGAGCGACGCACCCTTGCAGGGGCAAGGGTCGAAGCTTGGCAGTACGAACATCCTTCACCAAAGCAACGAGCCGCAGCAATCGCAACATCTTGAAACGCAGTTTAAAGCCATGCCGCCCGAAAGATTCCATCCAGCTTAGCTTCCAAAGCTCCTGCAAAGAATCATCCGTGCTCTCACCTGCACAGTTGCCTCAAGGTTGAGCTTCCGGTCTTCCTGATCAAAAGCCTCATTCTGTATCATTGCAGCCACCCACACATGGACATTCTTTGCGAGTTCTCGCGAAGGTATGTCAGGCCAGGTGTCCGCGTCTTCAACTAAACCTAAACCCTGAACCCCGTAATTCTAAACCCTAACTGAACCGTAACCGTAACCCTAAAGCTAAAACCCTCGACTCCCTAGGATACCCAGTAACTTAAGAATAACAAGGCCTCTCTTTTTGGTATTGGGTAGCTTTATAAGGAACCTAGGACTACAAAAAGGGAATAAGGGTACTACTGGGCAACCTAGCTAAACTTGTGAGTCCCTGTCGAATCGGCAGCAAAGGGGCTTGCGTTTTGAGGTAATTGGGAACCAACGAGGCTTGGACACCCAAACATCGCACAGTGTGTAGGGTTTTGGCTAATAAGAGGAATGCGAAATAAGGCATATAATATGGTTCAGGAAACCCGAATTGACCATAGTATGACGAAACAACAACCAAACCCTGCGAAACATCCTATAGATATGGCGCTTTGAAACTCCCGCTGTGGGCAGTGCCGGTGTCCACCCTTGAGAAGGCCAACACCTGCATGATGGCATGGTCCAGGGATTAGGGCTTTAGAGTTCAGGGCGTGGGTCAGAGTTTGG